TGTGGACTGATTTCTCAAGGAGGATGGTGGGGAAGAAAAGTGGCAGAGCTGAGCTATTTCTGATAATTTACCACATGTGGAGGGTGTTTCCCACACAGGATTCCTAGTCTTACTGTCAAAATCCACCTTTTATGGCCCTCCTCTCTGGAAGTGCTATGAACTTCCATGGAAGAAGGGACAGCAGCTAGATCTGTGTTGAATAAGATACTTGAAACTAATGAAGCAGAGCCCAGAGGTTCACAGTGGGAAAGGCCAAAGGTCTTCCTATTATTTTTCATTCCTGTTGCGGTAGAGTGATAACAACCACAGGACTGGCCCATAGACAGGGACTCTACATAGACTCGATGACAATGTGAGAAAGATGGATTGAACAGGGAAAATGATGACGTCATGATTGTAGTAATGAAGATGAACAAGAGGAGTCTGAGAGGCAATAAAAGATAAAGCAGAGGTTGACTAAGGATGTGACTACATTGTCTGAAAAATCCAAGAGTTGTCTTTGAGTATTATTCTAGCAATTCATGTCATGTTCTCTTTGTGTCACTGCTCTCATTCTCATGGGGCAGCCTTGATTGAATTGGGTTGATTCAGTGCAGAGGACCACACCACTCTTTAAATTGCCTTAAATAATCCACTCGTGTGTCTGTCCTGACTCTGCCTGCATTCCATTCTTGTCCATATCTGTCTTGTCTGCAGTTTTTGTTTGTCCAAACATTTGCAGTGGGAATTACTTTTTTTGTTCCTTTGAATTTGTGAGTAATTTTTTCTCTTTTTTATTCTACGTATGTGGCATAGTGCTATATCACTGTTGTAGATAGTGTATTTTTCTGCAGTTGAAATTTCTTTCACATCTCCTTTGACAACCTACTTTTAACTATAGACCTTCCTGTGCGAAGCTTGCAAATGCAAAGCTTGCAAATGCAATAGTAAAGAAAGACAGCATAGAGGGAGGGGTGCATGCCAAAAAGAATGCAGTTGTAAGAAAGAAAAAAGAGAGAGGAAAACAAAGGAACTGGCATATCTTCATACAGAGAAGCTAAAGCCACAGGATGGAAGGCATACCACATGCCAATAGCAAGCCAGAAAGACTCTAGCACCTATGTGATGCAATGCTAAGGTTAAAAATATTTTTTTAAAAGGGAAAGAGTTTGAACAGCAGTCATAATTGCTGATTTCCCAATGGGACAGCATCCTGCACCATCTCAAATGCATCATCAAGACATCAGCACAAGGAATTCCCCTGCACACATAATATGACAACATAGCCATTCACATAACCAAAAATGAGGCTTTTAAAAAAAACAGCATGATGTAGAGTGATTTAAAAGAAAAAACCTCCTGATGGAGGTTCAAAAAATAATAATTCCTTTTTTAAAAAAATGTGAGTTTTGTCTGCACTTACAATAATGTCCTGAAGTGAGGAAATGCTGGATCTATTTGCATCATGCTAAAACCAGAGTAATTAGAGGAGTATACTGCAATGAAGTTGCTCCCTAAGTTTCTTTTTGAGACGACTGCTTTCAGAATTCTACAGACTGCATGACCCATTGGCTATGCCGGCTGGGGATTGTGGGAGCTGTCCAAAAGAACTTTTCCAGGTTCTGGGATAAAATTAGCTAGCAGGATATATCTATCGGAGAATTTAGAATTCTCTCCTGTAGTTCTCCGGTGCAGAATGCTAAGCTGGCCAAACTACAAACCCCAGCGTTCCACGGGACGGAACCACGGCAGTCAAGAGTGGTATCAAAGCATTATGATGACTTCCTCGGGTAGAGGCTCTCCAAGTACTGTTGGTCTGTTACTTCCAGATATCCCTCATTATCAGCTATTTTGGCTAGGTTCAGCAAAACTAGGCTAGATTCCGTTTTCCCACATGGAAAGCAAGCATAGAAGGTTTTAATGAAGAATCCACTGAAATCCTGAATAATCTAAAATATTCTCTTCCATAGGTGCCTCCTAACTGGGCACGGGGCACGCCTGCCCCCTGAAACTGGGGCGGGCAGGTGAGGCTCTTCCAGCCTGGTCCAGGACGACCTCCCTTTATGTGATAGCGGAGGAGGTCAAGGCAACCTTTAACGATCCGGCTCCCGGCCTGTGTTTCCTGCTGAAACCGAAGCGAGACCAAACGGTCCAGGCTTAATCTCTCTGTTTAGGCTTAATCACACCGCATTTTGGGAAACAGCTATTTTTTTGCCAACTAAGAGAGGAGAAAGCTAGGGACTCAGGCAAGGGAAGAAACCCTGGGACAGAGGAAAGATGAACCCGTTCAGTCCCCGCACCTTCAAAGGGTAGCCGGGTTTTCTCTAGATTCCCCCACACACACACCCTCCTATCAGCCGAACGCTTTCCCAGGAATGGCGCGCTCCGACTTCGGAGCAATCAGAGGGCAGGACCAGGGGTGCTTCCGGCGCCCAGCCAACAACGACGGCCCGCTATGCCTCGCAGGGTTTGCCGAGGCCCACCAAGTCCCACCTTGTTCCGATCCACCGTGGGCTCTCACGCCTCTTGTGTCCCTGGACGTTGCCAACCACGGTCTCCACGCAATGAAAACCGCCTCCTAATTTAACTTTGCCAAGGTTCCCTGCAAGGTCGCCTTCTGAGCTTGATCTCTTTCTGAAAAGTTTGGTTTGGGTGCTAAGGCAAGGAACAGGACGACAGTCGTCCTTAGGCGCAGAGCTTTCTGCGAGTAAATCACGTCGCACTTACTTCGGGGTAAGGAATGGGGTACAGCTCCGATCGGGGGGAGTTTTTTCGGGCTTTCTAAATAACTGCCCATGAACCAATTTGAAGAAACATTCATTCCCCCCACACACACACATTTCAGCCAGCTCATGAGGTCCTAAAGAGGAGACCATTCACTGGGTAAAGAGAAGAAAAGCTAAGCGATTTAGGATTCTGCAGAACTGCGCTTTTCATCTTGAGACGACAGGCTGGCTCAGAAGGGCAACCAGCAACAAGCCCCTTGTTGGGCCTTCTCTAATACACCAAGATAACTAGCTCTCATCTCCCAGATCTCTTTTAAAAAGCGTCCTCCTGGAATATTGATTTGCGTCGGGCCTGCTTCCAAATTAAGACGTTTAGGATCGTAGCCAAAGGCGAGCATGCTGGCTACTGACTTAACCACTGTTCAGACGTAACCACTGGATTCCGTGAGGAGACACGAGAGCAGCTCGTGCTGCGTACCTGCAGGCCCATCCACGCTTATCTAAAAGGGAGCCCGAGCTGATAATATCACAACAAAGAATACAACATTCGAATTATTCATAATTGCAACACCTTAGAATGTTGTTCTTACTAAAACCTTACGGAAAGAATGAGGCGATTTTCTATTTGGGACCTTTCTGTCCAACCCTCCCTCTCTAGTTAAAAGTAACTCATCGCAAGGAGAAAGGAATCCTCTTCACTTTGGAGGACCAAATAGCAAGTCGCTTCTTTGACACCACCCGAGAGAAAAAGAGAGCCAGAAGAACAGAGAGAGAGAGAGAGAGAGAGAGAAGGCGGCTAATGCACGGCACATGGATGCGATTGCCTTGGGCGCTTTCCCGGGAGCGAAAGAGTCGTCGGATTCCCCCCACCTGTTCGATGCGAGAAGCGGCTTCAGTCTTTGTCTTTCAGGCCGGCGCGGCCCAGGAAGCATCTGGGTTGGCTTGCCAACAGATCATCGCGCACTCACAGAACTAATAAGTGCGGGCACCAAATCGGGCTTCGCGAGGCCGAGCTGTTCCAGGCCCTCTCATAGATGCAGCGGGCGGCCACTTCTCGCCCACCCCCCAACCACCGTTCCAAGTTAATTAGCCCGCATTTGATACTCTCCGGCGTGATTTCCCAAACCACGTCTGGGGGCTGCTCAGATGTTCTATCTTTTTCCCTTAATGAGAAAGGTTTTATAACAGCGGCACGCAGGGAGCCGTCTAAAGAGAAAGCGCGAGGTGTCTTTTCGTCCCAGCTTGCGCCAATCGGTCTTGCTGCCTCTGTTCCATCGGGCTTGGCTTTCTTTCGCCAGGGGCTCACGCAGAAGGAGGGAGGGAGCGAGGAGCAGCGGAAGGTTTGGTGCAGTAGGATGGAAACGGGGTGGCGGGGCGGGGTGTGTGTGTGATCACTGAAGTAGCTAATCCAAAATTAATATACTCCGGACCTTTTTTTTTAAAGCAGCTCCCTGGAGTGAATTTACTTGTAGCGATAAAGATCTGAACATGTACAGAAGGCGGGTTTTACGCAAGGAGGTGAGGCTTGAACAGCCAGCCAAGCATCTCCCGCTCGCTCTTTTTTGGGGGGAGGTCCCACCCACTTGAAAACAAAACTTTTTTTTCCTCGAGGGTCTGACATCAGTGAAGTAGGGAAGAGAGCTCAGGAAGAGGTTTGCCAGGGAAGTTGCGAATAGCAGAGGCCTGGAAGGAAGAACAGCAGACAGGCAGACAGACAGACAGACAAAAAGGGAGGGTTGGGGAGGGTGTTTATTTTCCTCTCCTTCCTCTCGTTTTCTTTTTTTCAAGAACCCGTCGAAATTGCTCCTTGTTCTTTTCTTCTTCTTCTTTTTTTCCTGTGCGGGGGAGCGCCGTCCTTTCTGGAGTGGGTATGCGAGAAGCGCTTCCCAGTCTGTGCCATGTATTGGAAGAGTAACCAGATGTTTGTGTGTAAACTGGACGATAAGGACGTGCCGGCGCTTCGTATTGCGACGGAGAAGGTGAGCCGCTCTGCTTCCCCTCTTCGCTGCCCGAAGACCCAAGTCCTCTCTTTAGGCGGATCGCCTTTGGTGTAATTTTGACTCGGGAGTGGATTCGAATGTGACTCCAACCTCTGACAGCTACGATGCCGTTTGCTCCGGAGTAGTTCCATTTGTTTCAATGGGACTATTTCGCGTTGCGTGGCTTGTCCGTCGCAGCTTAGAAACTTCCAGGAATCTTTTTATTGTTTTTAAGTAACCCCCCCCCCTTCTTCTTTTATCGCATCTGCCTCTTTAACGCGATTTTTGTTGTATCGGAAGAGTCTTTCCCTTCCATTCCTCGGAAGGCAAACCGTCACGGTTTCACTTAAGGCCAGCAAACGTTACAGCCGGCTGGCAAGGATTTACCGAAGCAAGCGGGGGAAAGCGACAGTTTTGACTGTACATAAAGCAAACAAGTTGACAAACAAGAGCCGTAGCTTTTCAGAGAAAAAGAAAATGTCAGTTCAGTAGGAAAGCGCTCCAGGGGAAAAAATGGAATATTTAGGGCGTGGAAGACTGGCACCTCTTCAACCTCTTACTCTGGAGTAGTCCCTTCACTTTTAAGCCGTCACAAATTTCAGGATTCTAAGTTTTTCTTTTTCTGATTTTGCTTCGAACTACTTAAGGCAAAATAAATAAATAATTTCTAGTGCGCAGGCTCCTTTGGCTTTTAAATACATATCGTGGCGATCAACAAGCCAGGGTCAAAATCTTCAAAATTCGTTCTGTTGCCTTCGATGGGACTGCTCCGGGGTAAGTGATTGTTACAGTGTTCAGCCAAGAAATAAATCCTCGTGGACCCTTATCACCTGGTTGTTTTTAAATTAATAGTGAAGACATTTGTCCGATAAATTGTGTTAAGAAATTTCAGTATGAAATGTCTTTGTTAACTGTGGGGGGGGCGATATTTAAAATTGTTAAAAGAATTTAAGCCAAATTGTGCTACTTAGCGATAAGTCGGACTTAGCAGGGAAAAAAGGTGGGTTGTTGTTTTTTAAAGAGGTCCTTCCGTGATTTTTTGGGATCGCGTCGCTCCTGCGGAAACCCTCCTGCCTTGTTAAGTGTGCGGCCCTGCGGGCCGACGGCACTAACTCGGAAAGATAAGTCCTTGGATGTATCTAGATGCTCTTAAGAGGAAGTTCTGCTGAATTATTTCGGACCTGTAAAAGCCGGTTGCAAGTAGTCCAGTCAGTTAAAAGGATTTCGGTGGGATTACCATGGAGTAAATGGATGGAGAATTGGGTGCATCTTCCAGGGGATACCATGAAACCGTCGTCCTGGAAACGATCTCTTTGGCTTCCATGGGTTTATACTTGAGAGTTAGGCATTTATAGATCCATTGGCGAGAGCGATCATTCCCATATTCCTTTTTAGTTGATTTCCCTAAAGCCACCGCGAAATCTCTCCTTAACAGCCCCGATTCCGCTGGTGAAGGAGTCCTTATTAATCTGCTTTAACTGGTCTTCCGGCGATGTTGTATAGCTTCAGTTCGGTTCCTGTTTAGCTGAGGAAGGACATTGGGCTGGACTGGGGAACTAGCCCCAGAGAATGCGGGGGGGGGAGCTTTCTCCGACTCTAAACTCAACTCGTCCTAGAGATAAGAGGTCTGTGAGAGAGATGGGGGCAAAGGTCTTCTTTTGGCCCTATTCACCCTCAGTCCCGCAACCTCCCCGGCATGTCAAGCACCCTTAAGCACACACCCCTCCCACCCACCTACCTTCCCTCCCATTGACCGACGGGGCAATTGTTTTTAATGACTCCCCAATTGAATTCAGCTGGCTGGTTTCCATTCGTCTTTTCCTTTTTCCCTCTCTCCCTTTCACGTAAGGTGTCCCCCCACCTCTTTTTTCACGCTTAAAAAGAAATAAAAAAAATAATTTGCGAGTCTAGAAAAGATCTCGGCCTGTTGACTCGGACTCGAGAGCGAGTTCAAGTGGCCATTTACACCTCAGAGGCCCCTTGCTGAAAGTGCCTGGCGAGCGGTGATTGCGGCGAGCCGTCCCAGGGCCGCCCCAAACTGAAGCTTTATTTTTTTTTCCATTCAAATCGCGCCCAGCACCAGCGCCGGGCAGATTTTTGGGGCGGCTGCGATTAGCGCTCAAGGGCCCCCTTGGAGCACTTTGCCTCAGGGCCGGCTTCGCCTTGCAAATTGCCCTTGTTTAGCTTGGGTTGGAGACGAGCAGACGGTCTGTACAAGCCGTCCCCCTCTCAACCTCCGTCCGGGGCTGGTGCGGGAGAGCCCCCCGGCTCGGTTTCCTCCGCGGCCTTCGGCGCACTCAGCTGTCTGGTGGTCTCTCTTCGTAGCTCCCGAGGCTAATGGCTGAGGAGTGTGGGCGAGTAGCAGCCGTGGCTGCCGCGGTGACAGGAAGGAGGAGGAAAAGCGCCGGAGAGACCGGGCTGGTGAGTAAACGAGAGAGAGAGAGAGAGAGAGACCTCGCGGCGCCCCTCGTGAGGTTCGGAGGAGCCCGCGGGGCTATTTCCTCAGGTAAATGGGGGAAGGTGGACTGCAGTGGACCCAGCAGGGAACGGCTCGGGCGGGGGGCGGCGGCGGCGGCGACCCTCTCTGTGGAGAAGTTGCCAGCGTGAGGGAAAGCTCCAGCGTAGCCCCGCCGAGGCGAGGAAGAGCAGCGTGAGGGCCCCGCGTGACTCCCAGCCTGGGAAGTCCGCGCGGGTTCGACTTGCCGCCCAGCCTGGGCAGGGAACTCATTGGGTGGCCTTCCGGGCGGGCAGCCCTTTCCCCTGCCCTCTCCGCCCCTCGAGTGGGATATTGTGAGGTAAAAAAAAAAAAAGACAAACACTGACGAAGTGGCCGAGGCGCCAAAGGAATAGCGCTCGGCAACAGTCCCGTACGAGAAATATGTCCTGTTTCACCCGTTTCGCTTTGCATGAAATAACATTATCTGTGTGTGTGGGGGGGGTGGTCCTTGAGGGAGAGAGAGGGCAAGTCTTGGTGGAGGGGAGCAGGGGTCCTGGCGGCCCTTTTCCTCCACAGCCAGGTGGTTCCTGGCGGGAGCCTCCTCAGGAGACGGAGACCCACCGAAACGGAGGGCGCGGAAGGGAAAGATCCTGACTCTCGGGCTCTGTGTGTTTCCGTGCGGCAGGTGAGCCCGGAGGCGGCCGGAGACGAGGACTCGTGCTCTTCCTCCACCCCTCTGTCGCCGTCGTCTTCGCCTCGCTCGCTGGCCTCCGGCTCGGGGGGCTGCGCGCCCAGCAAGTGCGTCTGTAACAGTTGCGGCCTGGAGATCATCGATAAATACCTGCTCAAGGTGAGCGACCCCTGGGCGCGCTCCCGCACAGCCCCCCCCCCCCCTGTGTACAAGCAAGAGAAGAACAGGAGGTTCACCATCATCTCCTATCGCAGGACAAGCCCCGCAGTTTTTAGCACAGGGAGGTGCAATGAGATGTTGCATTTCCTGTCCGGTGCTCCTAGGAAGGTTAAGCCAGGCAATGCAGCAGGTTTTTAAGAACTTCTCGCTTAGTTATAGAATACTTTCTTTAAAATAAGTTCGCTTTGAAAAGATCCCAATAAAGTGGCGAGGGGGGGGGCAACTTGGTGTGAATTTGCTATTCAGTCACACTGTAATAAACAGCTTTTAGAGTAACTCTCACTCATTTCATTGGGAACAAACTTTGATTAAATTTGCTTGACTCCATCCCTTTGGAACTTTATGACCCTGTTCCTTGAAATAAGATAAAGTGCGGTGTAGCGCACTAGCAGGATACGTTGGTTCAAATTCTGGCTTGCACATGGAAACTCAGTGAGATTTGGCAATGTTAAAACCCCTCCTTAAATAGTTTGTATACCTTGAAACCTGATTAGGGTAAGCATAAGTCAGATGCAACTTGGTGGCACATAACACATGCCCCTTGAAGTAAAATAACTTATTTCAATGTACTTGCATGTTTAATAGGGAGATAAGCTGAAAGTACTGTCAATCCACAGATATTACAGTTGTACCATTTCAATGAAAATGGTTTCACTGACTAGTATGTTAACATTAATCTTTAACCATTAAATGAGCACAAGAACACTGCACATCTAGAATTTTTTGGCTGTTGTTTAAATCTGAACCACGTGCTGGGCAGATTTTTAAAACTCAGAATTATGTTTTCGTGGTTTTGTCCATTTTAGTATTCTGCTATATTCAAATGCAATTCTCTGCACAGTTTATGAATGCCATGTGTGTACTATGTCACGGATTTGTAGCCACTAATCTAAACCGAAACCTGCTTTTGTTCTTAAAAGCCCAATAATTTGGATTTCACAGTCATCAGACTGTTAAGTTCAGTAATTGCTTTCTTGTAGAAGCTCAAAATTTAGCTATTTTCAAAACTAGGGGAAAGTATTTTAAATGACACTTTGTAGGGTTTGGTTTGCTTCACTCTTTTTGAAACCCTTAATTAGTGTAAATAATCTGAAGAGGCAAGTTAAATAAAAAGAAATTTAGGGATTGCAACATCTTGGTAGTTTCTTATTTTAATGTTTCAATTTCCCCCACTGTTTTGTTTTTTTGCTAAATGGAACTGTTGGCAAGTGAAATCAGTCTTTGCTTGGCTTAATAGAGATTTTTAGTTATTCTTTCACTTCTCTTAAATGTCCTAAGGTGGTTGTTCAGGGAGAGCTAATCACTCAGTACTATGTGTGTATAGTATAAAAGTCTTATGATATTCTAAGCATGCTAGGGAAGATAAAGTATTTTGTTTATAATCATCCAAATTTGGAAAAATAAAAAATAATTAAAATCCCTAATGATCATTGCCACTAGCTTTGAAAAAGAATCAAAATGGAGATGTTAAAAATTGTACTGTTTTGAGATGCAGATACATGAACTGATATTAGATCTGATGTTTCTGCTAATTTCATATTTGAATTCATAAAATATACTATTTAGAAATAGAAATATCAAGACTTCACCTTTTTCATGACTATTAATCTTTATCTTTGTGCTAATAATCCCCCGATCCTCCTAGTACACAATATGTTAGGAGCCACAATATGTTAATTAATAACTTCCTTAATTATTTTAGTCAAATGAAACCTCTATGGAATAGTTTTATCTGAGAACTGAAGGATATGGAAACTGATTATTTTTCCATTGAAGGGCAGTTTTACAGTATGAAATACTAGAGGGTCCCACGTCCCTTTCACTTCCAATACAAGACTTAGTGCAAGGTGCTAGTAAGTCTTTTAAAAAACAGCACAGTTGGGAAGTTTTGATTTCAGCTCACTACTGTTAGAACAACTTATCTAACAGGCATGGGCACTGACTGGGGATGATGGACAATGTAGTTGCACACATAAAGGTTGTGTTACATTGTACTTTACTGCTGAAGTCTACCAGCATGGAAAGACATTTACCAGAGGCAGTTGGCAGAGATAAACCCTGAGCCATCTAGAAACAGTCCACATTGGCAATAGCATTTATATTCATTGGAAGCTTAGACAATATTCTTTCAATGTTGTTTGCAGGTACATCAATTTCATTCTAGTAGCCCTCCCCCTAATTAAGTTACCTATATGACTGTTGTATCAAAAATTCTGAACTGTGGCTAAAGATAGTACAGGATTATATGTCAAATGTTACAATGGCAATAAAAAGAAATAATAGCATACTATATTTCCCCATTCAAATGGTGAATTTAGTAATGGATTAGTAATTAACAATATATAATATCTAATTTCTCCAGCTTTCTCATCTCTCTCGCTCAAAGAGAGGAGTTGTGTTTTGAAACCTTATCATACGGCATGTTAAATTCTCATTTTGTAGATTTTTATCTATAAGCTTGATATGTGACTGTCAACATCATTGAAGAAGCTATAATGTACAATGCTATTTGCCACAAGAGCTTTCATACTTGTTTTGTGAACCAAGGACTGAGGCTTCATTGAAGCCAAGAATATACAAAACTGTACCTATTCTCTTAAAAAGTAGTAGACATCCCATTTTCTAGCCTGTTTAGAAGATGTCCACTCATAGTTTAATCCCATGTTCCCAGTGTATATCTTATCAATTTAATGAAGATGCTTACCAAAATTAGCCAATTAAAATGTATTTTTCTGTGTGAAAAGCTATAAAAATAATACAGTGACTTACTGGCTTAAAGAGATGGTTCATCTGCTTATCAACTAATACAGCTAAACTGCGCATAATCCATAGTTAATAATGCATGAACAAACATCTGCCATGATTACTTCACTTTCTCACTTACTAAATTGTTAGCTCCATGGTCAAAACTCATCTTTAGCATAATTCACAGTTACTTAATATCAAACGTTACCATTTTATTTGACTAAGCAGTTCAGTTGTGATTTATGCCATGTTGCTTCTTCCCATGACTAACAAAGCTTACATTGAATGGTTATTCCAAAAGATAGAGCATCCAAAGTTGTGTCCAGTCTTGCAAATAGCTTTTGCCTTGGAGCTTGACTGCATCAGTTCATTCATGTGACCTTGCACTGTAAATTGTGCAAGGAGCCCATGAGCTATCATCATCTTATCTGCAACGTTCACTATGGTTCCACCCTGATCAAAATTGTACACATTTTCGTGCATGAAAATAAGTGCCTCTCAGAAGAGGCACTAACGTCCCATTTATTTATTCAGCCAAATTTTGTAATGATACTCCATGTGCTACGTATCCTCCCTGTATTGCTGTGTCTTTGGATAAGAAAGAAAGAGGAAAAAGAGAGAAACCCTTAAGGATGACTTTGTATTGTTCTGATCAATCAAAACATTGACCCAAAAAGCAAAAAACTGTTTTTGGACTTCGACAAACATATTCTTCTTTCTTCAAATAATGGATCAAATGGTATTCCTGTATGAAAAATTGCTTGCGCTGGGATGTGTGTTAGAAAAGAATGAGTTAATTGTATGCCTCTTGCGTGTATGATACTGTTAGTGTCACAGTGACTTCTGTCTGTGCTTTCCCATAAAACATGGTGAGTCTCAGAGTTCTTCCGTGCTCATTGTAAGTTCCACTTTGTTAAAGTTCTGTTTGCAGAGAGAACTAAAATCATTTCTTTCCCCCCTTCTTAGGTAAATGATTTGTGCTGGCATGTGCGCTGCCTCTCTTGCAGTGTATGCAGGACCTCTTTAGGAAGGCACACCAGCTGTTATATCAAAGACAAAGACATTTTCTGCAAATTGGACTATTTCAGGTATACTATACATCTCATAGATGTATTAATATTTTGAATACTTTTTGAAAATATTCATGTAGACTCCGTTGCATGTTTGCTCTGTGCATTTATGCATGAGTATCCCCAGTGGAGATGGTCTTATCTGTACTATATTGCTTTTAACAATATATATTGGTGTGACTTGAATTGTGTCCATTGAAATAAATGCAGCAGAAATAGTTTATCTGTATTGGGATGTTGATTTGGGTAGACAACCCATTTGTCTGATGGGTTCTTTTAGAATGGAAGGCATAATTTATGTTCTACCTGAAAGGATTTTAGTACAAATAGAAAGGTTGGGCCTTGACAGGTCCTTTGTACGTGTGTTTTGTGAACCCACTTTTTTATTCTGTCAGATTCCTCACCTTTTATGTTTCTACACAGCTTTATTGGATGGCTGCAGCTTAGTGGCAGTTTTTGTGTTTTGTTTTGTTGCTTTTTGTTTGTTTTTTTGTTTTTGTGTTGTGCAGTTTCTGATCTGGTAGCTTTCTGGAGCTGGTAGACAAGAAGATTCTGATGGCAGCCCTGCCCTGGGAATATATGATGTCCATTGCTATGCCATTGCTATGGCATAGCAATGGAAAATCTATTTTGCTGAACTCTAATTCCTGTCATTCCCCATAAATGGTCCTGCTGACTATGTCTGATGGGAGGTATAGATCCTGGCATCTCTGATGGGTCATAGGCTCTCTGGATCTACTTTGTTATCATCTTGAGTGTAGCTAAGTAGGCTCTGCTTGCTTGTCTGTCTTTGATGGATGTCATCCCCATTCACCTGTGAAATGGTTGTCCCTTTGCATCTTAAAAAAAATCACACAGGAGAGAGTATGAGTCGGTTGTCCCTTTACATCTTAAAAAAAAAAATCACACAGGAGAGAGTATGAGTTGAGAAGACGAATACTCTTTCAAACCAGCTATCTTCCAACTTTCCTTAGGCATTAGGGAAGAAAGTTGCAGGCTGCTACGTTTCTTCCACCGGACTCCTAGCTTCCATTTGCTGAAGGCTGATGCATGTATACTAGTCTTGGATGCCAGTGTTGACAGGCAGCTTGAGGAGAGCACTTCTATGCAATGTTTATCCTTTCCAGTTTGGTGGGCTTTATGAGGTTACACTGGATTTTCCAGAATAATTCAGGGGTCCCTCCCTTTCATTCTGCATTCTACCACTAGCCTGATCTGTTTCCCTGCCCAACAGATCATAGAGTGACTATACCAATAGGCAAAGTAATAACCACATATTGTAAATCTTAAGTAAACTCTGAAGTCTGGCATGCATTTTCAGCTGCTCAATAAAATTTCATTGTTTAGGAGTAGAATGTTTCAAGTGCATGTTTTCACTTTTAATCTTTCCTGTGGTGCCTGGGAGTGCTATGATTTGTGAAATAGGAAAAATAAAATCAGGACTTGTCACAATCTGAACTCCCTTGCTGTTTAACAAAGAAGTTAAACGTCTTCATTTGGCAGCCATCAAATTGCTATCTTCATCGTTGGCGATGAAGAATGTGCTGCTCCTACACATTTTGTTCTCATTCTTTTCTTCTCTGATTTAATAATTATGTAACTCAAAGCTTGTATACCGCACTGTCGTTATTGGCCAGATTGTGCCTTAAGAAAACAATAATCAGCCAGTTGACTGCAATAGACATTGTCTGGGTGCATTAAATACAAGCCCCCATGAGAAGAAAAACCCACACATTCCCAGGAAACTGAGTGTAAAAGATGGTTTTAATTCTCTTGCTGACATCAGTGCAGTGCTTCATGCCCACAGGTCCTAAAAACATTTTGCTGCAATTGCAGATTTGTAAGTTGGTGTAAATCAGTGGTGGCCTAGGGTCTGCACATATAAATTCCCCAAGGTTGTTTTTATAAGCCTCAGTTTTTCCTGACCCTTGCTTTTTCCGGTTAAAAAAAAGAAATGAGTTGCAGCTCCTTGAAGCTTTCAGGAGTGGTGATTTGGCTTTTAAATAGGTCAGAGGGCCACTCTACATCCTTTAACACCCCCAGATATCTATTTTTAAAAATATGAAGGTGACGTCTAGCCACCTCCACATTTGCTTTAGCATTTTGGGTTGTGTGTGTGGCCCTGAGATGATCCTGGGGCAAAAAAATGGTCCTTGGTTCTGCCAAACTTGCCAACCCCTGTTAGATTTTTTTAAAAAAATCTAACAGTTGGTCCTTGGTTCTGCCAAACTCGCCAACCCCTGTTAGATTTTTTTTAAAAAAAATTAACAGTCTGCTTGATTAAGGTAAAGCACAATTGAATGGGTATTAATACCTATTGTGGCCAAAATCCTACTGCACAATTATGCTCATGCAATTTGAGCTTGTGCATACGGTAGTTGCACTTTGTCTGAAGTGGAACTGCCATTCCTGAAACACTTCCACTGGAATACTGTGCAATTGGTCTAGTGGGGGACACACAACTGATTGCACAATTTGATAGTATCATCCAGTGGTGCCCAACCTTTGGACCCCAGATGGCATAATCCCTTGTTTCCAGGTGTAACACCCATCATACATATGCCAATATTAACTTTACATTACATTGGCTTGAACAGAATGTTGGCTGTTGTTTAGTGTCATGAAATATTTGCTAACAAATCTTTCATTTTGCTGTTTGCATCTACCTTCCAGAATTAGGGTTTGTTCCTCCTCCATCACTAAAGTACTTGTGTTGCACTTCCAATGTAATGGGGTAGTGAAATATTACTATAATGTCTTCAGTGCTCCCAAATATATTAAGTCAGAATATGGAAATACTTTACTGCTAGTGTAAAGCTTTTGCAGAAGCTTTCCATTCTAAATAAGCCTAATGAGTTTGTTGAACATTTTAAATAAAGCTCTGAAACCAGTTTTAAGTGGCTAAATACTATTAGTGAAGCCTTCAAATATGAGAAACTGTGAGATGTTTACCTGATCTTGAAAACAGTGCTGGACACTCCATTGCATTGCTTGTGACATTTTCAGGCAGTAGTTCTAGTGTACTCCTTAGCATGTAGAGTATCTTAACACCCTGAGCTTATCTTTCTGTTTTGATGTTAACAAAGAATAGTGTCAAACCATCAAAAGAGGTTTGCTCTCAAACTTGCATCTTTCTCTTACCAGCCATGCTCGGTTCATCTGGATTACTGTAATACACTGTACAGGTCTCCACTTGAAGAATATTATCTAGAGCAGGCTGCTGGGAGCATATTACTTACTTATTCCTGAAGTGTGTGAAAACTAATTCATCTCAAGATCTTAACGTAGGATATAGTGGTAGCTCATTGTGGGTCCTATACCTCCAGTTTGTTGAATGGCAGGGCAGAATGATTTGTATGAAACAGAAGATTTCCTGTTCAGGCCTCCCAATATGAAACAAACAGAAGATTTCCTGTTCAGGCCTCCCAATTCACTTTGAGACCACAGTGAGTGGGGAATCTTAAAGCCTGCCACATCCCAGATCAAGTCCCAGTGCTTCCTTTTGAGTAAGAGAAAAACTGGCTGCAGCTGCATGTAATGTATTAAGGCTAACTTTTTCTTTGGCTACTGGTATTGAATTACAATGCTCTTCTGTAATCAGATTACTATGATTACCTTTTGCAGTGTTACAGTTTGGCTTATATTAGTTGAATTTACGTAAATTTTATCTTGCTACTTTTTGCTCCAGCCTTTCTACTAAAGCATAAAATGGATAGCAAGAATAATTAAAACTACTTAAAATTATAAATATATAATCCCAAAGGTGGTGGATTACACGGTGCATTTAAGTTATGATGGTAACTCATATTGTTTGATGTATAGTTTTGTGGGGTTTTTTTGTTTAAAATAAAAAAATAGATGTGCATTTAAGTTATGATGGTAATTCATATTGTTTGATGTATAGTTTTGTGGGTTTTTTTGTTTAAAATAAAAAAATAGAACAACTTAAACAAATTAAAAATAAATTGGACAATAAAACTATTAAGGTATCAAAGCAAAACTATTTAAATCATAATAATCAGTAAACATAACAATTTAGAAAGCCAATGATTTTAATAGGAATTACATTAGTACCAGACTTTCCACATTGATTATGATGGGGCATGATTGCAGTTAATTTAATCTGGACTCAATTTTATGTACCTGAAGGAATACCTGTTGTTATATACTCCATTGTCTGAGCTCAGGCAGTACCTTGTTATGGCTTTGTACCTCTATGTGATGTAAACAGGCTTGGAACAAGGCCTTTTCAGCTATCATACCTATTGGATCCAAACCACCTGTTAATTTAAAGACATTTGGGTAGCTAGCTATGTCTTTTTTTTCCTGTTCAGAGTCAGCATAGGAAATCTGATTGGGTCTGGGATTCAACATGGAGAGTGGGAGGTTCTAATTCTTTGCCCCCTACGTGGATGAAACTTACCAAACTCGTTACCCTAGGAAAATCTTTCTAACCAACAACATACCTTCCCTTTGGGCTGTTTAAAACTTGACTGCTAGGATTAATAGTTTCATGGAGTTAGCTAGCTGTTTTTTACTTCTAGTGCCAAGTTAAAATGCTTTTCTTCTATAATCAGATTATTGTTCTTATCTTTTGTACCCTTTATAATTGGCTTTTTATTACTTAGTGCTTTTTAATATTAAATATGGCCTATCTGATTATATGATGGATTCCAACACAGAATGGGAAGAACAAAACTAAAAAAAGTAGAGCATCAACACCACATATATGACCTAACAAGGCTTTTAGGATGTTAAAAAGTTAGCATTTGCTTTATAAGTAGAGCATTAACACCACATATATGACCTAACAAGGCTTTTAGGATGACTGACCTCAAAGCAACCTGGCTGTCCATATGTGCTCCTTTTATTCTCTTAAGAAGCTTTGGAAGGCATAAGGAATTGGATGTGAAAAGTCACAAAACAATTTTTCATCTTTTTTTGTTGAATTATATCAATAGGAATTAATTAATGCAGTATTCAGTAACACAGGCTGACTTTACTATGCATTCTAGCTAAAATAAAGTTGCCATACCTCACCTGAGTGGCAATTAAATGGAGTGCCTTCTATAATGCATTACAACTTGTTGTTGTTGTTGTTCTAGACGTTATGGAACTCGTTGCTCCCGCTGTGGCAGACACATCCATTCTACTGACTGGGTCCGAAGAGCCAAGGGGAATGTGTATCACTTGGCATGCTTTGCCTGCTTCTCCTGCAAAAGGCAGCTTTCCACAGGAGAAGAATTTGCTTTGGTTGAAGAAAAAGTCCTTTGTAGGGTACATTATGACTGCATGTTGGATAATCTGAAAAGAGAGGTCGAAAATGGTAAATCTTGGTTTTGTTGTTAGGCTGTCTTATGCCTTGTTCCATCCCCTGGCCCCCATGTTGAGACAATTCTTGGAAAGATTTCTGGAAACCAATTAATCTGTTGAGTTGTTATGTAATTTGTGTATGACGATCTAGGGCCTATAGAAACCCATGAGCGGATGGCCATCTGGAGTTCTCACTGGTCTGCTAAGGAAAAGCTTGACTTGACTCCATTTCTGTCTAGTACAGCATAACAAAATTATCTTTGCCCAACAGAGCACTTCTGATTGGCAGTTACTCATGCTAGTATAAAATAACTGTTTTGTTTGCATTCTGCTACTCAAGTACTGTATTACGTTCTAATGAATACAACAAGCTTTTCTTGGGGACAGGGAAGAATCGCTTAAACACTATTGCTATTGTTTCAGTAATGAGGTATCTGTGGCTTTTTTCAGAGCATAGTAGTCAGAGTCAACTGTATGTATTTGTCTCCCAAGCAACCTAGTTTGATATAGTTTCAAAGCAATGAAAGAATCCAGAATTTATCACTGGATACCTTAGCCTTGCTTGTCTGAATTCAGTATGGCATTTTTCAGAGCATAGTAGTCAGAATCAACTGTATGTATTTGTCTCCCAAGCAATCTAGTTTGATATAGTTTCAAACAATGAAAAAATCCAGAATTTATCACTGAATACCTTAGCCTTGCTTGTCTGAATTCAGTCCTTGACCAAAAAGAAAAAAAAGTGCTGGAATTAGATTGCACAAACTAATGCAAATGTGAGATTTTTTCGCTACTTATCTCTTCCTAATTGCAAAATAAAACTCATTTTCAACACATACCGTGTTCATTTCTGGTAGCTCATTGATTCCCCCTAATAAAGGTCTTTGCTTGCAGTCAGGCCTGCAACACTGAATTGCACTGGACTGCCACTGAAACACTGCTTAAATTAGGGAAGAACAAATTCTACCCATTGGTGTGAGTACTCAAACTCTAAATTAATACCATACTCAAAATAAGGAAAAGCTGATATTTAATATGCTTCAGGTGAAATCCCATTCCATAACTTGCTCTCTGTAAGGATGATGACTTCAAAATAAAATATTTCCAGTCTCTTATTCCCCCCCACTCCTTCCCCAACAAAGGTTCTGTGACTGTAGTGGAATCCCTTTCATTGTTGGGAAGTCATTGGGGGTTGTGCAATGGTGAGATCCTTTAATTATCAAAAAAATTGCCATTGCCAGTGTGAGCTTAATTACTGAAAAATGCCACCGCTGGTAAAGACTACCCCATCTGTACCTCACAGCTTCTCAACAATGAAGCAGATTCCATGGAAGCTTTGGGAGCTTCAAGAGAGGAGGATGACCCTTTTTTTAAAATTGTGTCGTAACTGAAGATGTCAGCCTTACATGACATAATTTACAGAATATGATTTCAGTTTCCAAATGCTAGTAGCAAATTCTAATGCAATCTTTGTAACAAATGGCTGATATCAGTGCTAGCAATCTTTGGACTTTGTTGTCTTCTTTTTAATTTCAGGGAATGGTATTAGTGTAGAAGGTGCGTTATTAACAGAACAAGATGTTAATCATCCAAAACCAGCAAAAAGAGCTCGGACGAGTTTCACGGCAGATCAGCTGCAGGTAGAGCCCTGGCGTGCTAGAATGCTGTAATCAAAGTCAGCTGTGGGGTGCTGTAAGTGAAAAGAGGGGGAGAATGTAGCAATTTTATGCTGTGCATAGTTCAAAAATTCTGTTCAAACTACCCAGATAGAAAGAAACTGTTCTATCTGCTGCAGACAATTTATCTTGGTATTTAAGATATAGCATGTTTCTGGGATATTCTTCCAAGCTTTAGCTGTTTCATATGAAATAGTTGTTTGTGCTTTTCTATTTCCCCAAAGGCAACTGGTAATTCTGTAGAGTGGAAATGTAAATGCTGATCTTTTTTGATCACTTGATGAAATTCATTAAGTGAGACATTTACATCACAACATGTAATTACAATAGGAGACTAAATAGTTTCAGACCTATGTAATATGAAGAGGGACATTAGGAAATGTTCAGAATATAGCTTTACAGGAAACATTCAGCTTTTCTGTGTCTTAAATTTCACTGTAGATGCTACAGCAAGTGGCAGTTTAACTTCTGGCTTAAGAGCAAGCGGAATATTATGTTCAAATTGGCAGACATTACAGCCTCAGTGATGGTGGGGTTACTAGGACCTTGGCTGTAAGGCACGGTGTCCAGAAGAGCCCCCCTCATGGTAGTATTCTTCCAGAAAAGTTTTCCTAATAGTCCACATCACTGAGAAGTAAATACAAAGGAATGTGTACACATTATTCTATGCCAATGGTTTTTGCTCCATGTTTAGTGACTACTTCCTTGCCTTATTCTGTGGTAGATAAACCAGAGATTCCCTATTGCCACATTTTAGCATACACACATTTCCATATTCTGGTTTTAATCAGTGCTTACAATTACCTGCTGAAACTGGAGGTGCTGCTGGTATTCTTTTCACCCCTGAACAACACTTTTAATCATACACATTTTCTTGAATATTCACCAGTTTTTCTGTAAATAAAACAACAACCCTGATCTGCTCCATTTGAACTCAGCTTTATTTTGAGAAAACCTATTTTGTTCACAAGCTTTGAATTTTAAAAATAATAAGCAGGTTCTTTTTTCTCTATAAGACTTTGGTAGCTGCTGTTTCTGTATGTGAATTGAATAGATGAGGGATGTTTCTTTGGTATATAAACCACTTTTGGTCCTTCAGAATTTTAGGACCAACCCCAACCAGGATAGACCATGATAAGGGACTAGGAGAGTGGTATTGAGAAACATAAGAAGTTACCAAAACATTAAACCTAAGATTTACAAAAAAACCAAAAAAAAACAAACAGTGCATTTTGAGAAACTACAAGTTGTGATCTGATAAGGATACAGTAGTTCTTTTAACAGAACAGCGCTCTTCAGATTTGGACCCCACTCATCTTCAAATACACCATTTTGGTGCCTGACTCCCACATTTATGAAAAACATTTCTAAGCAATTTGTTACAGAAAACAGATATTTCAATATCTCAGGTGAGAAATATGAACAGTCTAATATGTTCAGGTGATGTTCAGTGCAGTTATGTGCATATCTAAGAAATAATTGCTGTGAATTCTCCTACTTACACCTAGATAAATGACAATAGCATCAGAGCCTAAGTATTTAAAAAAGCAGGCAGTGCCTGCTGGCATCTGTGGGAGACCCAAATACAAGGCAAACATAGCTTCTAGGCTTCGGTTTCAGAAGATGCACTGTTTATCACATCAGAGGGGAAAATAAGACTACTGAAAACTGAGTGAACCACAGAAACTTCAGATACACAGTTTTCAACTTTACCCAGATGCAAAAATGAAACAGGCTTGCCCAAATAGAAAAAGGAAGTACCTTGCACATGCAAAGCAAATCTTCTGATGCTGACTGTATGCATGCTCATTTTTACATATATTGCCTTTGGCTCTTCCATTTCCTGAATTGCTGATCTCTAGCTTCTTCACAGCAAATGCCTATTTCCTCCTCTTACAACCTCACCCAACTAGGCACTGTGTATCTTTCACTGCAACCTGCCTGAAACTCTGACATGCGGACAAAGCCAAACTACCCCCCAGCTGTCCAATTGCAAAACAAAAGCACTCTAATTTGCCAAAAGCAATTTGAGGCAAGATCATGTTAGAATAAATAGTTTTTTTCCCTCTTAAGGATGCACTACTGCCTCTAGATATGCAATCAGCTTCTTGTCCAGCCAGGCCCTGAAAGTGCATATTAATGGCCAACATTGAATTGGGTTTTATGCTGGCATACTGCAAATGACATAAATTTTGGTGGTGAATTATCTGAAGTTAGCAGAGCACTACCAGTATAAAACAGATAATGTTTCTGCTGATTTTTGGTTTTTTAGCTTAAAGCAATTTGCTTCAAAATGTATGCCATCTGTGTTGCACTTACAGGTGTTACTAAACAGATTGTGGCCAGTAGTTAGTGAACTAATTCCCTTCAATTTGTGTGAGACTTTTCAAGTGGAAGTTAGGTATCTGGCTGCAGAGCCAAAGGCTGGTAGTTCAATTCCCCACCGTGCATCTCAGAAGAGCCAGCCTGTGTGGCCTTGGGCGAGCTGCACAGACCGAGGGTCCCTCCAGAAGAAGGGAATGGTAAACCACTTCTGAGTATTCTTTATCTGGAAAACTCTGAGAAGGATCTTCATAAGTCAGAATTAGAGTTGTGATTTCTACTAAGGCTTCTAGGAAAGAATGGACTTCTTGGGTGAAACATCCCAAAACATTATTTTACTATGGCTGAAGTTATTACCTAGTTAATTATAGGATTGTGACAAACCTTTGACAATTTTTCAACCTAAAGATTTAAATCAATTAAAAAAATCTATAATGTTTAGTTTGATTTTTTTTAGTAACTCTTTGAGAAAGATGAACACTGAAAATATAGTTGCTATTGCAAGGGATTAGAACTGCTATGGAATAATTAGCACGATTAGTATAGGAGAAGTGTTACTAAATTGGACAAGGGTATTTGAAATATTTCTGTTTGGAGGTAATAGCTGTATCTTTATTCTTTCAAGCTAAGCAATGTGAAGAACGTCTTATAGGCAAATCATCTATTAAGAAAAATGTGTATTTTCTGCTTTATGTTCTCTGTCTAGACATACAGACCTTTCAAAGCACAGATTGGAAATGAAATATGTCCTTACTTCCCAGTGACCAATTGCACACTCTCCATCAATCTAATTTGCAAAATGCCAAATGAAGCAAGCTCCTGCAGGGCAGTCTGACATCTTTTATCATATCAATGAGTTATGCGTCTAATGGCATGTTAACGGTTACCACCTTGATCTAAACTGAATCTAACCTCACAAATAAAACTGGTCCAAATTATTATCTCCATTCTAGTTCCTCAGAGACAATCCGGAATACCCCCACTGGCTCCTGGTCATTATTTCTAATTGATAGGATAAACACTGTAAAGTTAAAAAACAAAAAATAAATCTGCAACAAGCTTGCAGAGAAAAACTAATCTGTACTTGAATCTCTTAGATTCAGCTTAGTAATAAATACTGAAAGAAAATAAAAGTCCAGCTATTCGGTCTTTCAATCTACTGAAAGTACTTTGCAACAACCGAACTCACCAAATTGAACCAGTCTATTTTTACTATGCTTAGGTCCTGCTGAAGTCAGCAAGACAGTTGAAGTCTCACATTAATATCAACAGAACAACAGCAAACTCCTATATGTTTTTAGGCAGTTTAACATTATTAATGTGTGTACCAGTTTTGCATAGGAAACTATTAGACACATGAAAACTAAAACAGCAATAGTCACATTTGCCACAGGACAAATTCTGAAATCCCCGAAAAGTACATAAGATTTGCAGAGGCATAAGAAATGTACAAGCTTTAAGGAATATTATCTCTTCATCATCATGGTGCTGGAGGATACTCTTGAGAGTCCCTTGGACTGCAAGGAGAACAAACCTATCCATTCTAAAGGAAATCAACCCTGAGTGCTCACTGGAAGGACAGATCCTGAAGCTGAGGCTCCAATACTTTGGCCATCTCATGAGAAGAGAAGACTCCTTGGAAAAGACCCTGATGTTGGGAAAGTGTGAAGGCAAGAAGAGAAGGGGATGACAGAGGATGAGATGAATGGACAGTGTCATTGAAGCTACCAACACGAATTTGATCAAACTCCGGGAGGCAGTGGAAGACAGGAGGGCCTGGCATGCTGTGGTCCATGGAGTCACGAAGAGTCGGGACATTATAGCAAATCTATGAATGAGTGGCCTTCAATGAAGTACCATTGTTAACAACTCTTTCGCTCTTGCAAACTCAAGGCTGTCACTTCCTTTATTGATTCAATCTACCTCTTCTTTGGTCTTTCTCTTTTTCTGTTGCTTTCAGCTTTCCCAGCATTATTGTGAGGTGAAATTTAACAGTACTGCATTCTTTGCCTGCAATATTCTTCCTCCATGACATCCTGAAACAACAGAAATGACAAAGCAACCTTCCTTTGTTTTCAGTTCCCTTCTCCCATTTTTGGACTTTCAGTGGCTGAGAAAGGGGAAGAGATAATATTTTTGAAAGCCTGCACTCCATACACCTTTTGTGTCTTTCTGTTTGGCCTGTAAAGATACTACCTGAGTATGGAATTTATAGTTTCTTTTGACATATGAGTGCAAAACCGAGGGCAAAACCAAGTTCTTGCCACAGGAAGGAACTTCATATACTGTACTTTTAATGCAAAAATTGATATGGTCAAATTGTCCCATGAAAAGTTCACATTAAATCATGTCTTGATAATGATAAATCTAGATTTGACTTTTCCATGATGTGTCTAACACTTGAGTTAACCTAGTCAGTAGATAAGCTTTGTCTGGTGGTTAGGGAATCCTTTTATGCAGAAAAATAACTCCCCAAAATGGCTATCAGAGGTTGGAGCATGACTGCATCTTGGTAATTAAGCAGTTTTTGCTCAGTATGTCAAAATACAATTTAAAAATAAAAAAAATACTTCTTGCATTTTCCAGGTAATGCAAGCACAGTTTGCTCAGGACAACAATCCAGATGCACAAACACTCCAAAAACTGGCAGAAAGAACAGGCTTGAGCAGGCGTGTGATACAGGTAACTGTACTGCAGTTACTTCCCGAGTATTGTGAGCAAAACCCTTAAGTTTGTAAAATTCCCAAGAAAAGCTTCCTTCTTTATCAATATTATATAATTAGAAACCAATCATTTGCAATATCTTACAACAGTCCTAAAACACTGGCTGTTTTTTCAGGAGGCAAATGCACAGCTAATGTTTTCCAACAAATACTTTCACATTGCTGAAGAGACAGCTTCTGGGTCGTCTTACATGGGCCAGTAGCAATGTGAGTCATAAGAGATGTAGAGTCCAGAAATTTACACCGAAAATTCCTCAGGTTGTTGATTGGTTGTACTAACTTAAGTGTGTGTGTGTGCTCAAATATAGTTAAACCCAGGTTTGTGTAGCATCAGAAAAAACACAAAAATATGGGCAGAGACTGCATACCTAAGCTGTAGTTGCCTTTAATTATTCCTGTGTTTCACATATGAGAAAATTAAATTAAAGTGCAATGGTCTGATAATGGATGCGATAGACATGTTCTGTGTCTTCCCACTTTCCAGGTGTGGTTTCAGAACTGCAGAGCACGCCACAAGAAACATGTTAGTCCCAATCACTCATCTACAACTCCGGTTACATCAGTCCAGCCTTCCAGGCTTTCTCCACCAATCTTAGAAGAGATGGCATATTCAGCATATGTACCCCAGGATGGGACAATGTTAACTGCTCTGCATAGTTACATGGATGGTAGGTACAGTAGCTTGCTATAACTGCTTTATGGACTTGAAAAGAAATTGTGAAATGCATTCTTTAGCTCAGGGTTGAGCACCGTGAAACCCATGGGCACACAACAACAACACTTACTTTGTTTCCAGGAGCACATCGTCGAGAAACCCTAGTTTTTCAGGGGGTAATTTTTTTAAAGGCTCTGTAGACCTCTCCTGCAAAGAGATATTTGAGACTGATAGCAGCGGCTGCTAGTAGCTGGGGAAGCAAGTAAAACTTTGCATATACAATTTGTCCTCAGAAAACATGCTTTAATTTTTTTTAATGGCTTACATTACCAAAGTGATGAGGTTGCCACTTTTCTGGGGCTTTGTCAGCATCTTCTTTGGTAATGAGGACCTATGTGGGAAGAAAGAGATCGTGCAGGGAGAACCATGCCAGCGTTGGAGGCTGCTTTGGTATAGCAGGCACATAAGCCTGGCTTTTCCCCTGTGATTCCAGCATGCCTATGCTGCAAGAATAGCATAGCAGGGGATGGCTACAGGGCCATTTAATGAAAGAATTGTTCTTCATTATCACCTCCCAACTGGATTTCCTGGTTCTAAATATACCAGAATAAATTGCCAGCCACACATTGTGGTTTAGCATTCTATATAATCAATCACACCTTAATCCTTTTCTGCCCTTGAGCTCTCTACATGGCTTGGGAAGTTTATCTGTTTCGGATTACAATTCCCCAAATCCTTGGCTACAGAGTTCTTGGAGTTATAATCCAGATGACTAAAATTTCCAAGTTGTGGCTTTCAGAGTGGCAGCTTAATTGTACAATTGAGTTGAACAAGGGTTCCTGGAAGAAAATGAGACTTGGCCATGCAAAGCTATTTGTTTTAGAAACAGACTCATAGGGAAACTGCTGTCCTCTTCACCATTAACATGTATTCCTGATGACGATAGTACCTTTTTTGACTATATTTATATATGCATAACTATATATAGTCTTTATAGTCAAACTTGGGCAATTGGGTATGTAGTGGGTATGAAAGCATATTTGGGCAATATTTGGTCCCTAATGTGAAAATAGGTGGTAGTATGGCATACCACTTGGCCACCTTCTCTCATGACAGCCTCTGGGTCCATATTTGTCCTTCTCAGAACTTGGTGGCTCTCCTCGAGAATCACCCAACAGAAAAAAAAAGGTAGCCTATGAATTGCAACCCTTTATCATTTGAAGCATTTGAATGTAATTTCACTCTCTAGGTCTGTTCCAGGACATACAGTAAATAGCCACTTTTAAAGGGGGTCTGAGAGTGCACTGTGGCCCCAACCCCCATGTTACATTATAGTGAAGCATAGTTTTGGATCTGCCAATTTTTAGAGCAGTAGCTATGGCAGAAACCTCAAGAGCTGTATAGTTGTGTTAGTCTGCTGCAGCAAAAAAAAGCCAACAGAGAGTTGAGTGGCAATATGTTTTCATAGCCTGAGGTCCTTTTTGTGAGATGCAGTTGTCATAAAGTATCTCTATATAATGAATTTTCTTCTCTAGGACAACCTTTCCTTCAGCTAATTCATGAATTCATGGTTTATTCACAAGATTGCACCTTCTGCATTTTAAAAAAGCCTGTTCTTTTTCACTTAAAAAAAAAGAGCAAAGGGAATGCTGTTTTCAAAAGTGCAGAACCTAATAGCACTTACAATCTCTCTCTGTGACCAAAAACAAGGGGTGGGGGACAGATAATGTCCAGGTATGATAGATCAAAAGAAAGGCATCCTAGTTCTCCCCAAAACAGTGGCACAAATCCTCTGGCTTTCATCTTTCAAAGCAGGTTTATTGAAAGGGCTTCTTTTACACCAAACATCTTTCTATATTTTGTGGATGGTGGTCAGGGGGATATCAAGGATAACTGTAATAAGTCACCTTCTTTACAAACTGCAGAGATGTATATATAAGAGGGTTCACAGCATATATTGCAAAAGTGTAAAGATCCACAAGGCGCTGTTGTTCCAGACATGGACTCTTGCACAAGCTGGTGAAATGGGCGCAGCTTGCCAGTGCCCCAGCCATAGCAATGCAGTTGGATTTTTATTCACAAGTACTATTTTTCTACTTCAATCAGGCTGACCAGCAAATCTTTCTATTTTTGTAGCTCACTCACCTTCTGCTCTTGGACTCCAGCCTTTGCTACCCCATTCAATGACACAGCTGCCAATAAGTCACAGCTAATTCATTTATATCAGGGACATGAGACTAAGGAGGTACCCTTGAGTCACCTATTCTACTCTGTCAGTGAAAGTCCATTTAACCTTAAATAGCATCCAAAGCATTTTGAAGACAATTTTGTTGCCCAGGTATGTAAGTAATAGTTGGCCTGCAAGACACTTTTATGGCTTTCTCCATAAATATGTTTACAAGACTTATTAAAAAGAAACACCTTTTTTGTATTGTCTGGAAGTAGTCCATTCTAGCTATGTGTTTGTTAATTTATTTATCATCAAAAGAGCACTTTGCCTAAAAGACAAAACTGACAATTGTGCAAAATGTTTACAATTCTTTGTGAAATTGTAGTTCATCATTAGTTTGTATCTGTAAGTTATTGTTATTAAAGTATTACTTGTATTTGAGTTACATGCAGCCTATACTTTGAAGCTTATGTCCACAAGCTGGCAAAATGTTGTTTGCCAGTGTTCTCCAAATGACCTAAATAAAGCCTTCTGTTGTAGCATGCCAAGCAAACACGTTATTGTGTTAATGGTATAATTGTGAGTGTTTATGAAGAACAGCTGGACTTTACTAGCTAATAAGGAAAGACTGCTCTCTATGCACATTGTTAAATGCTTTGGCAGTCTCTTCTGAACTGGTGATTATGCCATCTGACATGAAACCATTTAATTATGAAGGCTCTTGAAACATCAAAGATGAACATTACAAGCACAGAACAGACTATCGGGGCACTTAAAAATGTCTTTCTTCCTACCAGCTTGGTTCTTTTACTAGAATATATATTCTACACTATAATTTATAGGGCTGTATTCTAGTAAATAGATCAGTGCAATCTTTAACATCCTCAGATTGTTTAAAACCTGATACTGATTCAGCTAGAGTGCAAATGTTTGAGCAGGGCATATTATGTGCTTGAAAACAGCTCCATGATATACTGTATACACATCTGTCCACACCCATGTCTTGGCTGCAATTCATTATAGGCATTCAACATGAAAATAAACACAGAGCATAACAAAAATCTGACCAAACTAAGTCTTAGTACATGAACATTTTATTGTGTACAATGTGGCTGACACTAGAACACTGTAGTTATTCATGTCTACTTAGTATTGGATGTTGAGATGGGCACAGACCTTGGTTCAGAGGCCTGGACCAATTCATCATCATGCTCACACAGGTGTTGTGCACACATGGCACCCTCCCACTTCCACCTCCCCTGCATGCTCACCCATTCCTTGGGTGACACGTGCTTCCCTTCCCACCTCCCCAGTGCAACTACCCCCCTCTCACCTCCTGCAGTGTCTCTTCTCTCTCCCGCTTTCTCCATTAGCCACCCACTCAGATAAGGGAGGCTGGGCAAAGACTCCAGCAGCGCTGCCTTTGAGTGGACAGCTGAAGGAGAAGGTGGAAGAGGGAAGAAACGCTGCAAAAGGCAAATGGGTAGTTGCACTGGGGAGGTGGGAGGGGAAGTGTGCATCTCCCAAGTAATGGGCGAGCATGTAGGGGAGGCAAAAGGGGGGGAGGGGACTGTGCCCACACAACACCTGGGCGAGCGCAATGACAAATTGGGCCAGACCTCTGAACTGAGGTTCCTGCCTATCTCTAACTGGACGTCGCTACTCTGGGTGAAGCAGAAATCTGTGGTTTTCTGAAACCTGAAGAGTTTATATCTTACGGCACTGCCATCTTCTGTGTTACACAAAACCAAAATCAAGGTGGGGGGGAAACTTTCTCTAATGTATGCATTATTGAGAAACAAAGTATATTTCTTGCTTCAGAACAATTGTTTTTATTCATATGTATATTTAGTTAAGTAATTGAAACTGATATGACTGATGTCGCCCTCCTTTAACTGAATGCATTGAAAGTGGGGAGACGAAGCTCTTTGCTATATGTTGCGAAAATGAAGTTCAGGAAAAAAAATTTCACTCCAACACTCAGATTTTCAAACCAATAGATCTAAATTCGTGCAAGGGACACAAAATGTGTGCTGCAGCAGGTAAGTTCTATATGCAGTAATTAAATAACTGTTTGGAAAGTGTTGAAGAGTCTCTACATACCAACATCTTGGCTGGACAGCACACAGATAAAACAGACATGTGTCCTGGTCTATCTTTCCAATACTTGACACTCTGTTCAAAAAGACTGAAATACACCCCATGAAGTCTAGTTGAGCTGCTACAAAAGGTAGTGTTACTGACACTGAGTGTAATCCTGAAAGTGTGCAACACCACAGTAATGCCTTAAGCCCATTTGAATACTTCGTAGTTTTAGTTTTTGTAGCATGTGCCGAGAATAACAAGGTATTCACAAAAGAGCTTGGGCAAGTTGTTCACTTACTGGAAAAAAAATTTGCAACCCATCACAGCTAAAATAAAAACTAAATGCTCTCTGCCATCATGGCAGTTTGCCTGTCTCCCATCATGTCTGCGACATTATCAGGCTCCTGCTGCTGCTCGATCAAGGTATTGCTGTAGTAGCCCTAAAGTTAAAACGTGCTTGGAAATTGCTGGTATTCACATTCTTTGCACAGTTTGGAGCTGTTCCAAAACAGCCTTTGCTTCTGGTCAGTCATATTTAGAATCATCAATATGTGCAGGGTACCACTGGTTAGTAGTCATTGTGGGTATATACTGTCAGACCGTCAGTATGCCTTTGAAAATCGGTTATTAGGGCACATAAGTGTGCAGGCTATTGTGGTCATGTTCTGCTTGTGGATTTCCAATAAGCATTTGGTTTTCAACTGCTGGAAATGAGTGCTACTACATTAGCTAGGTATTTGGTCTGATCCAGCAGACACTGTCAGGTCATTGGCCATAAACCTATTGTTTGTCTAAGGAATGTGTAACTGCCTGTGGCTAAATGCAGCTGGCAAGGCACATCTCAGTCATATGCATAGTTGTGCAACCAAGAAGCATCCCAGCATTTAACCAATTAGCTACAGCAAATTACACAAACACCAATAGAATTCTGGTCATTGTGTTTGACAGAAAACATAGGTGTTAGCTTAAGCACGTTTCTACCTTTCTTGATAGCAAATGAAGGATCACTGCAGAATTTACTCTTAAGGTAATATCTGTATAGTGGATTCTTGTGGAAGACAATGACTTGTAAAATTACACATTCTCTGACCACAGAGTTGCTAGACCTTGAGGCAGTGCTCTGTTCTAGGCAGGGAGAAAAATTGTTTTAGTGTGCATGAGGTGTCTTTAAATCCCAGGTACTCATTCTCCACTGATGCCAGGAGATTCATGTGCTCAGTGAAAATGTGCATGTGTGCTGTGCTTATAAAAGATTGGCACAACAAAAAGACAGTAGTTGGGGATGTGCATTGGGGAGAAAGCCAGTAGGTGCATGCACTTGGGCCAGTCATGCCCTTTGGTGTAAGAAAGGGAGAGGAGTGCCACCAACACAATGTACAAGCTTTCTTGTGGAACAAGCCCTTGGGGCAGCAACACGGCATCTAGAAGGAAGCCTAGCAACAGTGAACATCCTGGAGAAATAAGCATTTGTCTCCTGAAGATTGTCATATCACCTGCTCGGTTATGTTTTTCACCTAAATTCTGGACCCATACTTTCCTTGTTATCCTTGCAATCAGCTGGTCAGAAGCACTTCCAGATCTCTTGCCTTCCCCATCCCAATGACATCACAAGGGTCCTTCATATAATATCACAAATGTCTACCCTCTGATCTCAGATTTTGTCCATCAGAGAATGGGGCGCTGCTGACCTGGCAGTCTTAGCTGGTACACATTTGTTTTTGACTCTTCCTTTGTGTATTGGTTGAACTTGTAGTATTGTAACAAATATTAATGCATACCAGAGGCTTGAGTTTGCAAGAACTGAGCAGGGCTGCTAAGAAATGACATTTTGGAGATCACTCATTCATAAGGTTGCCAGAAGTTGGGGGGGGGGTGTGTGACTTGCTGGCACAGAATAATCACAATGCCAACTTAAATAAAACTTCCTTCTGATGCATTTTTAAAATTTCCTTTTTACACCATAGAGTTTATTCCAGCTACCTTCCTTCTAGCAGTCCATATATAAGTCAAAGCTAATGTAGTGAAGGTGTCACCGCATCCAAATATCTGTCATGTTTTATCTCCCTCAAACGCTTACAGCTGTTCAGCATAATTTTTGAAAACCATGAGCCTCAGTTGCAGTGATACTGTTGCAATCCCTGACTTGTCCTCTACAATGACTTCTTTCCCATAATGGAAGGGAAAGATTTCCAATGTATATCATTTCCGTTCTTTATAAAGTTGGATTGTATGCTGCAGTGCAGGATTTTCAGGGGAAGAGCAAAATAGTGTAAAACACAATTTTGTTTTTAATTTTAAAAAGCTTGCAAAATGGTAAGCATATGTGGGGAAGAATTATACAACTAACAACATTATAAATATGTGCTGATGGCACTTCTGTAGCCAGAGCTTGTAACAATTACTTGCAATTAATTCTTTTTCAAATAACTGACATAAT